CCCCAATGTAGTGCCTCTTCTGGGTCCATCGTTGTTAGGGAAGGATTTGTCACTTGTATCAATGCGCGCTAATAGGGAGGCATTCCTTTACACTTGATCAATTTCTTAACTGATAAATTAATTTCTGAAGATATCACACTTCGTCCCTCGCGAAAGGGACGCGAAAAAATAAGTTTTTTTTTTAGCTAGAGCCTTCCTGTAATTAGTATAATTATATGTATACACATGAAAGGATGGCTGCAATACAATGACATCATGTCTGATCGATAGACCCGGAATTTTCGAAAAACGTCACAGCTCGTAGCCGTAGCTTCCAGATATCCAGTTTTCCTTTGATACCCATTTTTATAAAAATTCCACTATTTCTTCGAATTTCTAATCATCATATTGGATCCATTTAACATTTTTAAATTGTAATAGATCCGGTTTCGGCGGCTTTAAAATTTATGGACACTTACGCACATCAAAATCGCAATAGAATAAACCTTTTTTTTTTTCATTTAACACCTTGGTATCACTAACAGCGAAGTTATCAAAAGTTACTTCCTTCTTATCACCAGGAGTAACAACATCAGAGAAATACCCTAAGGGCCACTATTCAATAATCAAAGCCAATAAATTTTGCAAGCTCATGAATAGCTTGTAATTCTTATACAAAACGCTTTTAATACTGATTCTATTTTAACTATCCTGCTGATCTGGTTTTCTACGAATGTCGTAGACTGAATCTGCCTCGCGCTAGGATCATACACTGATCATTGCGTAATCCTCGTGCGTGCCAGAACTCGCCCACGAGGCATTGGCGGCTCTCTTGTCTCTGTCATTAAACCGACAGCGGGCTGTATGTACGTCTGTATCATGGGACTCGAAAAATTTTTACCCGGCCGTAAGAAATACATAGTAGTATTCGACTCTTGGATGTTTCCCCATTGTAAGTTTTCAAAAAGGGACATAAACATGATCCAATGAACCAGGAGCAACTAGGTCCTACGCGAATGCGTAGGAAGGGTTATTTCATGTTTTAAATTATGACTAATTTGATTAAAGTTTCTGTCATGTATTATTATTTTTTTAAATCATCAACTATATTCCATTTGTTTAGGTCTTCGTATTAATGGACATTCGAATCATCGCTCAGGACATGGATATGAAACCGCTTCAATACTTAGTTCAGACTTGGAAACTACGACGTTTTTAGAATCAGATGACGATGCCAGCAGTCGAATTACATCAACCACTGGGCGACACACAAATATGAGTAGTGCTGTTGATGGAGCGACCCTTGGTGAGCTTTTTATAATTTTTTTAAAATTAATTTAACCTTTTAAAGTTTTTATTGAAATTGCATATTTTTAGTATTATGTAAAAACCATGGTCCTGATAATTGAAAGATTTAATTTTATATTTATAGTGGTTTTTTGTTCAATGTGTATTACGTTGTGTATAATAAATACGATTTCGTCTTTTGACTTTGAAACAGGATTTTGGTATATAAATAAATGTCATTCTCATGCCGTGGTTTTGATAGATTAGGAAATCTGGATTGCATTGACTTGAACATGAAAAACTTTTGAGGTGCTTGCGAAGATATTTGAATTTGGTGTTTTTGAAAAATCACTTGTTAAAGTAAAAATGCCTGTAACAGCATTAACGTTTATATAATGTACATTTTTTATTAATTCTCTCACGTATGGTGTATCACTTGTTTGTTATTTAGATCGACGTAAACTTCAGCGTAGACGACGACATCGTTTACCTCCGATGTCTCGCACTTCATCCTTCAGCAGTATCACAGACAGTACCATGTCTTTAAATATTATTACGGTTTCTCTCAACATGGACACTGTCAATTTCTTGGGTATTAGTATTGTCGGGCAAAGCAATAAAGGCGGCGATGGCGGTATCTACGTAGGATCAATAATGAAAGGGTTTGTATTTGACAATTTTATGCAACTAATTTGAAAACGATGGATCATAGTGTAATAACGTATTCTAAATCGAAAAGAAAAGTATGTATGAAATTTGTTAAATATTTTATCACGCGTGTTCAATATCTACAACATTTGATATCCATCTTAATTACTATAATAATTTCTATTTCATTTCTCTTGGCTCTGAGCGTTTTCAATTCAACATATGTCAAGAATAATAAATATCCATTAAGTTCTATTTTTTTAACTTAATATGCTTTTCATTCTAGCGGTGCGGTTGCTCTGGATGGACGAATAGAACCTGGAGACATGATACTACAAGTGAACGATATTAATTTCGAAAATATGTCCAACGACGAAGCCGTACGAGTATTACGCGAGGTAGTTCAGAAGCCAGGGTAAGAATATTATAAATTTTTACGCATGGTCGCATGCAATTTCTGATAGTGTCACATGTAATTGCTATTGCAAAAAAAACCACGTGTATTTGCGAATTTCTACATGCAGTCGACTTAAAATGATGTTTTGAAGGAATCTGGAATCTAATTACGTCATATTAAAAACGAACGTGATTAACCCTTAAAAAATGACGGAAGGCATCGTTTCAATAATTTGAGGATTACAAAATTATTTGTAGAAAATTTAGTTGTGAGGATACATAGCCTGGTTATCGAGTGGGGGGGGGGAGAGTTTATTATTTGCTTGTGAATAAAAAAACGACGGTGCACGGGGAACGACATATCAGTATACTTCATGAAAATATTATTCAGATTCAGCTCATAACTTGCACTTTTGTGTAATACTCATACTACTGGAAATCTAATGATATTTTGAACATATTTTGTTTAAACACAAGAAAGAGATGTGCCGCAAATTTCAATTATTGTTGTAAATATGGGTCTATAAAATTTTTGCTCCAAATTGTGTTTTGTGCCATCTCGCTCTAGACTAATGTCACAATTCAAATGAATTATCAATTTAAATATATTAAGCATGTTTTTTATTTTTTTATTTATATATTAAGCAAAATATTCTTGACGTTTGTTTTGTGTGCTCTTGTGCTCTCTCGCGCATGTCAAATTTCAAAGTTAGCTTTTAAAAGTACGGAAAGGATATTTTACCTGGGTTCTCATCTGTACTTGTAATAAAAGTTAGTGTTCTTTAAAATAAAATTAAAAAAAACTTTATACAAGATTGTATTGTCGCACTGAAAATTTAAAGAAAAAAAAATGATTTATACAGTAGATGCACGAGTTTATTGACGGTAATAAATATATCAATTTGTTCGAATAAAACAACAATTATTTTTAATTCTAAATATTTTTCTACAGGTAATACATAGTCTTTTTTCTTTATTTTTGTTTTAGACCAATCAAACTTGTCGTAGCTAAATGTTGGGATCCAAATCCCAAAGGTTACTTTACTATTCCACGGGCCGAACCAGTTCGACCAATCGATCCTGGTGCTTGGGTCGCTCACACGGCAGCTATTCGTGGTGAGGGTTTTCCGCCACGACCTCCAAGTGCCACCACTTTAACCTCTACTTCGAGTAGTCTGGCCAGCACTCTCCCAGACACTGAACGTAAGTTTTGTTTATATTGTAAATATTGTGATAAAATAGTTTCATTTATCTACAATTCAAAGGTTTGGCGACATTTAGATTCACTACTAGTTGTAACAAAATTTTTATGGTTTACTTGATGAATAACTCGCAAAGAGCAATTTTTCATTTTCAAGACGTTATAAAAATAGTAAGTGATATAGAAGTGACAAGTGCACCATTCAATATATCCTCAAGGTTAACAATCGTAAGACATTAATTAATCACGATGACTAATCCAACTGAAGAGAGGATGGGACCAGAATTAAATAAGGACGTGTTCAATTTAATCGGTGATATATTGTAATTGTGAAAAGATACAGTTGTGCACGTTTAGTCACAAGGTGCAAACGATAGCAGAGCGTGGTTCCAAACTGAACTCTCGTAGAATAGCACGCGGTGCCATGGCACGCAATACGCAGTACAACAAACGCGGTTCAATTTCAAGTTCGTGCTCGACGCACTTCATCTCTCTCCAACACCAACTCTGATGGAGAAGTTTCACATGAAAATAATATGTATATGTAGTCGATCCAACATTTCGATGTTTTTCTGACAGTTCGCAAACAATGCAATTCTTAATAAATCGCCACTGGCTTTCCATACAATCTCGAAGAAATATGTTAACTAAAGAACATTAAAGTATATTTCAGCACAAAACCGTACTTGTACATACATATTTTGGTAGCAGAAATTATATACACGTATACACTTCATACATCGAGGAACGATTCTAATTAACTTTTGGAAGTGATACATATATACTACTTTTGTTTATTGTTTACATGTATAATAATTTTGATTCTTTTAAAGTTTTCAGAAAATATTTTCTTACAATTTTGTTTAATAAGGAAGAATAAAAAACATATTTCCTTCAAGAATAAATTGCACTTCGTATTTCATTCAAAGAATAAAGTTATAGCTTTTAAAAATTTGCGAAATATAGAGTGAATTGTATTTTCTACGTGACACTGGGTCAATTACAAATCATTATTGACAAAAGTGAAATATGGAATAACTAATAAATTTTTACCTTCACGTACTTATTCAATTAATTCAATGTTTGGTTTCAGGCCCGATAGAAGAACTGCACTTGACCATCAATACCGATATGCCAACCATCGTTCGTGCCATGGCAAGACCAGATTCAGGTTTAGAAATTCGTGATCGAACGTGGTTAAAGATAACTATTCCTAATGCTTTTATTGGTGCGGCTGTTGTCGATTGGTTAAATACTCACGTGGAAGGTTTCATAGACCGACGTGATGCTCGCAAATATGCATCCCTGATGCTGAAAGCGGGGTTCATAAGACATACAGTCAACAAAATTACATTTTCCGAACAGTGTTATTACATTTTTGGTGACTTGTGCTCTGCCATGAGTAGCATGAAATTGGATTGCGACACAGTAGGACCACTTCCTCCTCCGATTGGATGGGATATGATGTATTCTGGTACCTATGCTCCACATTCTGCTACTGGATACAGTCCAATGCCTTTCAATTTCACCAACGAACCTACTGTTTATGGCTATCATCGCGAGGAAAGCGTACATAGTGGCTCGGGTAAGTTGAATAATGTTATTGCAATAATTTTTGTCGCACATATTACTTTTGGTTTAAAACGGCGCTAACGTCTCCTGCATATATTTCACTAGGATTTTTTCTATTTAACAAGAAAGATCGAATAGCGTTTATTTTACTGTCTGCCAGCTTCTGATCTAACGGTAAAATTCACACTAACTCCAATTGGGTTCTGATAAATACGTCGAGATACGGCCACAAAGGAAGAGGCTTTTTTTAAAGCAAGTCTTTTTTCGTATTGACTACACATTTGGTATTTCCCTATTTAATTGTTTTTAATTGCGTATTAGCATTATACGTAATATTCCAGGCTGCTATTCAATTAGTTCTGATACATTAAAATACAAGATGACGAAGTTAAAAGCGCGAGAAGCTTTACTACTATTATTCTTGTTTGTTTTTTATTTCGACAAAATGTTGATACGTCTGCATTTACACTCAAATATTTGTCCATGGAAAATACTAAATGACCATTCGACTTTCGATGAGTGAAGCCAGTGCTTGTCACCAATCTATATTTCATATCACTTTCCTATATGCTGATTAAGTAAAGTTTGTTATTGTAAGTAATATTATCACATCTTATTCATCAGATGCTTAGAAAAAATCTATTAAAAAAAACGGAACAAACAAGCACAACCGTATAAACTATGTCGTTGTATCTTATAAATTTGCTGTTGTAAAATATTAAGTATTGGACTGTATCTAAATCTGTATCTGCAAATGTTACTGATTAATAGTACCGATATCTGTAGCACAATTTCTTTTGTAAATTTTAATTTGACAGATCCAGTGGTCGTCTTGGTATTTTCAATGCAGACATTTCGCGACAGCATATACACTTAGTTTTTTTTTTTATATTTGCAATTGAATAACACAGTCTCCCCATGTGTTCTACGGGATCATATCTAAAAATTACGATTAAAGATGAATAGGGATTATCATAGATGACTAGACGCTAGCGTGATAATAATTAAGTGATCAGCTGATAAGTTGTTGATAAAGATATTCAAGCTGTTATGGAAAAGAAACAGTTGTACTAGATTAAAAAGGTATAACAGAAGATAATCAGGAAACTCGAAAACGCTATTGCATAATAATAAGCGAAGACGAAATCAAGGAATTCAACGAGGATTGAAAGGAAATAAAATGCAATGAACGAAAACGTAAAGAAGGAAGTTGTAAAGTTGTGTTGATTAAGATTAAAAAAGTCGAACGGAAGAAGAGGAAGTTATATTATGTATATATTGCATTCACAGACTTCTAAAGAAAAGATTTGACGAAAGTCAGCAAGGATTTAAAAAAAAAAAAGGAATACCGAGTAAAAATTAAAATAAATCATAAGATGGTAAAACAAACTAGCGTATTTGTTATAATGTGAATGGAATGATATGATAAAGAAGAAATGAAGTACCATTCGGAAGGGAAAATAATATATGTGAAAGAAGATCATGAAGGGAGAGAGAGCGAAAGAGACTGACAGTATCATTAACAAAAGAGAAGTATTACTAAGAGGAAAAATTCGTCAAAGTGGATAACTGTCTATTGAATGAAAATGTAGTCAATTGTATCCATGGCACTGTTTTTGATTTCAAGACTTTCGCAAGCAGAATATCAATATGCAATAAATCTTTTTATTTGTACTTATCAGAATTTTTCATACACAAGAGAGTTATCAGAGTATTGTTTTGTTTCGATAGATCTAAATCTTCTTTTTATATCTTGCTGTTCTAATTCCGTTAGGAAAGAATTACTCAGGGTGTATTTCGAAATCTTATCCACGTATAATTTTTCCCTCTCAACTTTTACTCCAAATATACATTTAAAGTAACGGTGTAACACTGAGGAAAAAGAACTCAGATAAAAATACGAAATGGCAGGATATCTCTACATTATCCTATACTAGTTTCCTTTTTTCATTTCTACGCATGAAACGTTCTTTCCATTGGTAATTCTCGAATATATTTTGAGAAATACTGGTTTCAAAAATGGATGCTTTGTTTAAATTGATATTTCCCTTTTACATAATGTACTGTATAAAATTGTAATGCAAAAAGTGGAGTTTAAAAAGTTTTTAAGTTATCACGTTCCCTGAAATGATACGATGTATGAAGATGTACAAGATAATGTCAAACATGATTTAACACTGTTTCACTCCTTAAAGTTATAATTTTTACATCTATCGGTATTTTTACAATGCAATGTATCCTATATTACAGTCATTCATTTTTGTTAAGGTGGAAGCAGTGCCGGAAGCGAACACATCTGTAAAGAACCAATACATGATCTCAAATCATGTTCTTCAGCCTCAGAATCGGAATTGCATATTCCATCTATTCCAAATATGCCGGGAAGAACTACGTCGGGTAATGGCAATGGTAATGGAAGTGGATCCAATGGGAAGAGGTCTAATGGTAGCCGTAGCAGGTCGAGTGGCTCTGAACAATCCGTGCAGACAGGAACCGGTTCAGTCAACCAGCAAAATCAGCAAGATCTATCCGGTAGTAGACAGTCATTTCGCATTGCGATGGGGAATCCTTGTGAATTCTTTGTCGATGTTATGTAGATGCTATTGCTGGTGTTGTAAATAATTTACTTACGGACCGGCTCGAATTAATCGGGCGGTGCTTCGGAACGAACTGATTATTTAGATAGCTTTCTTCTTTAATTGGAAATTATATATCAAGTTATAATCGATAACTTTACAGTGTAAACGTGCGGGTTCGTTTAAAGCAGCTATGTACAAATTCAAACTGTCCTTTGATGTTTGAATCACCTGCATTAAGATGAGATAAAAATATTAATTCAGATACATGCTGTATATTAACTTAGCTTCGGTGTACATCGCGATACTTTTATTATTTGTAGAAGCTTGAAGCATTTATATTATATTTTTTTATAAAAGTACGCAACGAAGTACCTTCCGACGTTTTTTAAAAGTAGATTTTTCTTAAGGCGGGCGTGTGAATTACTATATTACTCCGTTTGAATACATTTGGATTAATCTGTTTGCAAATTATATTTACATTTATTGAATTTCTGAAAATTTCATATGCACAGATATTTGGAATTAATTGTACACAATTTTTAAACCGTCTGTTTAGTACAAAGCAAAATGTATACCGCTGATAATATTTCACACATCTAATGATATAATTATGCAATGTTGATAGAAATACGACATACTTTATTCTATTGGACTAAATCGAGCATCTATCATCCTATTTTTAAATTCAGCGATTCAATTGGACGAATTTGTAAATTTTACGTGCCGCGCCTAACAGTTTGTTGCATTCTATTACGATGCATTTTGGTATTATTGCGCTAATTTATTATTTAGCCGATAGCATTCCTTTAGTTTTTAATCCGCATGCGATAAAGTATTACGTGAATGTAAATAACTAATTGCGACCCCGAAGTAAATGCACTACTTTATTGTCACGATTTTACTTTGCTCTGGGGTCGTGTATTGTAGAAAGAATATCTGACGCACGTTAAATCTTTCTGAAGCGACAAGAAACAATGTTTCAAATAATGGTAGGTAGATGGTGCACACTTCACGCATATAGCACAAAGCATGAATGTGTAAATAACACAAGTTTACTTTTTCAATATGAAAAAGTCTCTTTTGAATTATCCGATTCTGGGTACGTCGATTAATTAACTATACGGCATGTGTTGCAGAAGTTTCACGTGGAACTGGAAAATATGGTGTAGTAATACCGATAAAGCAAGAATAACGTATAATAATACGTTTAAATTTCTTAAATCCTTATCCTACACTACACTTTATATTATAAATATTATAAGACATTGGTTTTTAATTACACGGTTGTAATTCAGAATAGTCGTCGTATTCAAATAAATATTTGTTTAATGTCTTGATATCTAAAGATATCAAAATCATACAATATTTTGAATAAAGATTCAAGTCTTAGTTGAGCTTATAAAAATTGTCAGTAATGTAGCAACGGATAGGGAAATAGACATGCTTTTTAATATTATTGGAGTATCTAATACTAGGGTAATTATCTATCAAATTATTTAGGTAAGATTATCAGCCCATTTTATTCCTAAATTAGAATTGCGGATAAAAATTCCTTGCAGCAAAGGTTGCTTTACTACACGTTACTGGACTATGAAATAAGTAAAAGATTGCTTTCTGATTGAGTTTTGAAATTTCGTTCACATAAGTTTATACCTGCCGTAAATCGGCAAATTACAGGTCGTAAATATTTTTCAGTGCTATTAAATTATTAAACAGTTCTCTAGCAATTTTTGCAGTGCAAGACTAATATTTGAATTGTTTAAAATATCGAAATAAAGATCGTTTCACAAATCCTTTATTTTCGACTGGTCCCTTGTTAACGGTGTACACATCGATCGAGTCAATTCTAAAAACAACAGGTCGGGTTAAATAACGAAGCTAATTGACTCTAGGTATCCAAGCATTACTTTATGGCGCAACCATATGACCATCTTATGCATTTGTTATTGCAATGAAAAACAAAATTAAGTTCGGGCACGCACTATATCAAGAACTGAAGTGCTGAATATCTCCAAATGCTACTATTTTATTCACATTTAGAACTTCATTATTCTGTAAATTTAAAATAATTGATGATGACAGTTGTCTAGAAATTTCTTCACAAACAAAACTGTAAATTATCACATTATTACTAAATTGTAATTGTGTTTAGAGTCAACATAAGAATAAATCAAATAGAGAGATTTTATAGTCGGAAAGTAATTTGCATATCATATCGAGTGGCATATATGCCTTAGGTGTAAATTTAGGTGTTTACTGTGGAGTATACAGAGGAAATAGTTACGGTTGTACAACATTTTTATACAATACAAGTTTATCATCAGATGCTAACTTCGTGCTAATGTGAATGAACGGTATGGATTGGAAATTAATGAAAGGGAAGTGTTAGTGATAATGACAAGATTTTGGTATAGGAAATGAGTGTCATTTGATATAGTTAAATTTGCCTTATTTGTTGTGTGAATATGAGCAAATGTGAGAAATAAGAGTGCCGTTGGCGTGTAGTGAAAGTGCATGTGTCTGTGCGTATGTGGGTGAACATTAGAACAACAATATTTTGATTTTAGTTGCAGTTGCGTTTGCGTTCCTGTGATGATTACAATGGTTTATATAGTGAATACAACTAAGGAATTATATTAATTTATTTAATAGTAAAATTATGACAATTTATCCTAACACAGCACAGAAGTAAAGATAAGATTTTCATTTTAAAGAGAATGATTCACTGAAATACCAACAATGAATGTAATATAAGGCTAATTGGGATGCTTTAATGCAGAATTCTTCTAGGTGAAAATGTTCTGTGGTATTAACTTTGAGGCTGCTGACTTATTCCACGTAAGGTAAACGGCCCAGTTATTGATAGTTTAAGAGCGGCCGTGTCGGATTTTTGCCATTTATTCACGCGTGATATAGCCAAACTGAAAACTAAAGGTTTCAACACGTGCGTTAAAGCCCTCCGAATGAGATTCACCTATTATACAAGTGAAACAATTAAGGCTTATTTATAGAATTATTGTTTTAATAGCTCTTCTCTGCTGCCGGGGTTTCTAACACTCGAGAAACACCCATGTCGTAGTTTGTGAGCCCTGCGTGTATCCGATTTGTGACCCCCTTGGCACAGTTTATAACGCCTACGCGTACCCACTGTCTGACACTTCCGAATATTCCCATACAAACGAGTGTCAACAACAGCAACATTACCTCAAATATGTGACGCAGTTATTGATCCCGCGAATTTGAACAAATATCTAACCAAAAGTTAAATAATCTCTCATCTCATCGATAGTCTGGTTGCTGCTGAAGATGTTGACATCATTTTTATGTCGTTTTATACTTGCACGATGAACAAAATTTACAACGACGTAGCTCGTCGCAACTACTGCCGCTGTGGAACCTGCGTGTCGCTCTATTCACTGGTTGAATTTCTATTCTAAAATATTTCATTTAAAACAGTGTGTTTCTCCAGTAATATAAAGTGAAAAACGCTTTTTACTGTGTCGCTCTATACGTAACTTTTATTAACCTCCATTTATGCACATATTTGAAATTATTTTATGCAATAATTATTGGAGCTGAAGCTCCACTAAATTTCCACATCCGATTGTTCCTTCACTCTTCAATGCACATGCATTGTAAGAGTAGAAACAAATCTGAGTTCTAAATATTTTTTCGAGCGATATTATCAAATCACTATTCATCATTAACACGTTACTCCAGTTAACAAGTTAATAGTTTTCTTCTAAAGGTCTATTAGAAAATATTACTCAAAATATTAGTGCGGCAGTTTTCAATCAGTAAAAAAACATACTGTACATATCCTCAGTGTAATGTACTATTTTGTGTGACTTCTAGCTGCTTTACAGAGATTTATGCAAACTTTATATACAATCGACTTTCACTACAAAACTATCGCACTGAGAGGAGCCTTCCCCCACTTTTCTTTTCCACTTAGCACGTGTTTCCCCCCCCCCCCTTCTGTCGGACGCTTCGCCTATTACAGTGAAGTAGGGACTCTGTAATATCGCTCTTCCTTCCTTTCTTTCCTTATGGTTGCAAGTAATAACGCTCTGTCACTAGTTATTACGTCTCAGAGCTCAATGCGTGATTATATAGAGAGTTGACTAGGTTAATTACTAAAGTTTCTTATTTACAGCTTGTTGTAGCTGTAGACTAATAACTGATGGATGAAAATTCTACAATTCCTTTTAGACGATTAGGATTTATAATTATCATTAGCTATAAATCAAGCTTGTAAAGAAAGGAAAATTGATGCATGCTTGTAAAAGAAGGAAAATTGATGCATGCTTGTAAAAGATTGTTCGACTTTAAACATATTTTCAATAAAATTTTGTTAACAATTTTACGATTGTTAAAATTGACTTCTGGATTGGAATCGCACCTGGAAATCAATTGTAACCATATTAACAATGGCCGCGAAAGCCTCAGAACTATAATTTTGATATTTCTTGTACTCCATGAGAATGTATGAATCTATTGATCTTATATAAAATATACATAAACGTCAAATACGTATTTATTAAGTATCATGGTAATGGTCAATAATTTTGAAAAACTATATCTACATCAATTACACGTTTAATTAATTTTTTCAAATAAATATGCATATGTCGTAACAATAGAGAAATAACGTAAAAACCCAGAATCGGAGTGTTCAAAAGCTTGCATGGAAGTATTAAAATTAACTTGAAGTTGCATTTTTACCTCGAAGTAAATCATTTATTAATTTTGTTTCATTGATTGCGTTTTAGGATTGTCCACGACAATGGGGCAGCTATTTCTTTAAAAACTCGAGCGGACGAATGTTTATGGTGCCGGTCAAACGACAAAAAATATTCACTGACTGTTAGAAGGCGTTAGAAGAAGTGCCCATATACTGTGAGTCTTGGCCTTATGAGAATATACGCGATTCGGACTCACTGACTCTACGATTCTGTAATTCTTTTCATCTTAGCAAAAAGATGAATTCGTTCAATCAAATCCAATACTCATGAATTAGATTTTACGTACAGACCAATATCCTTCAAAAATTTGTAAAAACGCTCCTCAAATGCTATCAGCCATAGTTTATATTTGAATATTCACTGACAATATTTTTAATGCTATTTTAATATTATTTATGCACCAATTATCTCTCATCAAATTATATGAAAATGTACCTTCATTTTTGGCAAAGCTCTAACTCCAATGCGGGTCTTTGAAGTAATTACAAAAATGAACTGTTAAAGGTACACTTTATGAATTTTCAATTTGATATTCTCTATTTCCTCACTCAGGCTCTGCGAATTACACTTTGAGCCCATAGCACGACATTAAAGGACTGAAAGCTGCATCGTGGGACTGACTTCTTTGACTGTGGCTGCACGCATCCAAAAATTTAGTCTAGTGTCTCCGAATCTGAAGACTGTTTCATGAGTCCAGGACTCTCTATGTATAGGTTACCTTTAATTATCGGTTACGATTAAGTACGTAGAAGTGTAGGATCATTGCAGTAAAACATAATAATGTAATAAATTCTAGTAACCCGAAGGACTCCAGCAATTTTATATAAAAATCATTTTCACCACGTGAAAATAGCAAATTGAAATGAAAATTGTATTAAGAATTTTTGTATAGCAAATTTTATGTAAGATGAATGCTTGTGAGTGAAAATGGGCAGCGACATTGATGATTAATTCAAGCGAAACGCCCGAAACTTAATTATTATAATTAACGTGGACATAACTTATTGATCTGGACATATCAACTCTCACTAGAAAACATAAATCAATTGTTTTGTGCATCATTGGAAAACATAAAAATTAAAAGTGAGACATGACCGATGATTACATACGGTCTGATAATAATTCAGTATCAACAGGAGATGGAAAACATATTTTACAGTTATTTATGTGCGCAGAATTTTATTGTAATGTAAATTAATTTCTTTTAACAAATTTTATATCGTCTTTTGTACACTGATCGGATGTCTGACTCATATTATTGTACAATGTATATGTACAATAAATTACTATACGCCATAATAAGTATTGACAGGGTATTTTTGGGATTGCGTCAGTCCTTAATTAATTACCAGCACCGTTAAAGAATGTACACTAACATCGTTCGGCCGGCACCCAACATGACATATAGATAATAAACGCATAAATATAAAGGACATACGTAATATTCCTATGAGTATATTACATATATATTATATATAAATATAAATATAATACATATATATATTTATGATAATATAAATATATATATTTAGAATAATATAAACGGGCCTCTCGCTGTATCGAAACACTTGTAAATAATTCAATCTTCCTGTTACGCTCAGACTCGAATGTGTGCCATCAGAAATAAACCTTTAATGGTATGAATTAAGAAAATTATAGTCTTAACTAAGTCGATGGTTAGTTAAAACTATAATTAATCGATCCCATTTTTGCGGTTATATTAAGAGACCCGCTCTCATATGTTCGCCGTCGCCCTATTTGCTAATTATAATTTATGATTAATTTTTAAACAGAGGGAGAAATATGGATATCGTGTATATTATTCGTTTTGCCTATTGTTCTCTATCCTGCACTTTCCCCTGATTTAAGTATTCTTTTTTTTTTCTAATTCTGTAAATACTAGTCACTGTGCATTTCTTTTCTTTCATTACGTGTAACGTAATAACATCGTAAGTGAGGGATACATTGCTAGACTCCTGACATGTTAGAAGATTAATAATTTCAATTTATTCTTAATGATTTGCATTTTATTTCAATCGGTATCAAGTTGTACCAAGTTGTTTTAATTATTCTTATTATTACATTCTTAAACTTTGTATTCTATTTGTTAATCGTTAATAGTCATTCATTTGCTGAATGTTTATATGAGGGTACATTTAATTTTTTTTCTAGAATACTCTTTTATTTTATTAACTAATCAAGTAGCGCCTTTTGGAAGATACTTTATCTCATCTCTGAGGAGAATTGTGAAATCATGAAAAACAAAAACTTGGCAACAATCAATACAAACCAATATTATCAGCAACCTTATATCGCCAAGTCTCAACAACGTGTGTACCGTCGTATATGAGAAACCATGCAGACACCAATTTTGTTGGGAAAAATCATGTTCATAATAAAGAAATGTGTACTTATATTCATTACTATCCAATTTTTCAATAGATAATCTCCAATGATTTTTACAAATGACTGAACTCTAGTAGTTTGTACTATGGCTGTTAATCAATATAACGGTTCTAAATAATTAATATGTATTTCAAGCCTTTGTAACCTGTTTTCTTTAGAACTAGATGTAGAAGAATAACTTCTGATTATCAATATGTATAGTCAGTTTTAGATTGATTTAATATTAGAAGAAGCCAGAATATGTTTAATATTGGCCAACAGTGAAACTGTTACATTTTCATTAATCAGTGTAATAATTGAACTTCTATTAACTCCTTGAGCTACATTGACGCTATATGGCGCACATTGTTTTTATTTTTTCCAGATAACAAGATTTTAATGAAACTTTGTGGGGTAGATGTACAATTTTTGAATATACAGGGTGCGCCATCAGTAGGTACCATATGTTAAATACTTATAAAATAGTGAAAGCGTAATTAAATCGTGTTCGGTTTGCGATATTAATTTAATTTGGTTTATACCAATACAAAAAATTCATTTTTTGAACACAACGTCGGGCAAATCGTCGCCTTTGTGAACGACACAAAGAAATGCTCGTTCTCGGGAATCTTCCATAACTTTTTGCAACGTTTCGGGCATTATTTCCGTTATTTCTTTGCGGATTGCACCTTTCAGCTCCTGAGGGGCCGTGGCGCGCCAACATAAACTTTGGACTTTAAATATCCCCACAGAAAAAAGTCTGGAGGCGTCAAATCGGGCGAACGCGGTGGCCAATCGTAATCGCCATTTTTCGAGATCAAGCGATTCGGGAACAATCTTCTGACGAGACTCATTGTTTCTCGTGCAGTGTGACATGGTGCATCGTCTTGTTGAAACCACATCCGCTCTAAACCATTTTCAGCGATTTGCGGCCAAAACCAATCTTCAATCATGCTTCGATAACGTGTTTCATTGACGGTTACTGGGACTCCTTCGTCGTCCTCGAAGAAGAACGGTCCGTAAACTTTTGTGGCACTGACGCCACACCAAACAGTGACTTTTTGGTCGTGGAGAGGCATCTCATGAATTACATTTGGGTTTTCAGCACCCCAGTAACGGCTATTCTGTTTGTTAACTTATCCATTTAGTGTGAAATGAGCTTCATCGCTCATGATGATTTTCGTCCAAAATGAACTTTCGTTTTCCGCCAAACGAAGCATTTCATTTCCATAATTCAAACGCTTTGGTTTGTCAGTTGGCAATCACTGTTGCGTAATTTGGATTTTATATGGGAAAAGATGTAAATCGTTCTTGAGAATACACCTCAATGTTGTTCCAAACAGACCAAGTTGTTGAGCACGGCGGCGATACCGCACATTCTGTTCCCTCTCAACATCGGCCCGAACAAGCTCGATGTTCTCGTTGCTGTGCCTCGGACGCGGTCTCGCACATTTTGCACGATCACTAACGTTGCCACTAGCATGAAACTTCTGAATAATTTTTGATACAGTCTTCCACGTAACGTTGAAATTTCGCCCATACTTCTGCCTCATACCACGTAAAGTTTTGGTAAATGAGGACTGTTCTCTAAAATATATTTCGACAATATCGGTGCGTTGTGCTGGCGTTAGGTTATTCATGATGAATAATGGTATAAAGTAATCTGTCGAATACTGTGATAAATTATTTTTAATGATTTTCGTTTAGAAACGTTACATATTTCCATATAAAAGTCATATAATACGTTTAAGGGTAGTTACCCTCTGGAACAAAAATTGAAAAATTGCATTTTTACAATATCTGATATTTTGAATATCAAAATTTGAAGTCCAAAATCGGTTTCACCACCTTCAAAACCTTTGGTATACAAAAGTTCCCAAGACTTTGCGAGTGTACAAGGAATCCCGGCGAAAGGAATTTCCACTTGGTTCCTTGTTTTCTATATTAAAGACGAATTAATAAAATGAGAGCATAAGTGCGTTTCTGTTTTTGAACAGGACACTACCAAGAGAGTCGGTAGAGTCTCGCACGAAGTACATACATATAGCGTAGCAGTGGTGAAACAAAAAACCGACAACAATAATTTAACTACTTGTACTGGAATATATTTTTAGATAGTAGACATACACTGAGTTAATACTTGACAACGGTATTACTATAATCGTACCACTGTAATGCAACAAAAAATGGTTCGTATGCAGGAGCTGTGACGAGAAAATAATTCATTTCGTAATAGAATCTGGAATATGAAATAGAAATTAAAAATATCAAAACAAAAAGTTTTACAGCATTTTTCTATGCATTTATTCTGTATGTCTCCCATTACATTGCAACGAGATGCATTTAAATTTTATGTTTCGTTTTACTATCTAATATACAAATATCTTATCGATTCTGAGTTACAATTTATCAATAACAAAATTTAAAATATAGAAAATATATTTAATACATAACCATAATTGCCATCGGTCGACTACAAAAGTACATATTGTTTCAAGAATCAATAAGTATATAAAATAATTCTTTTGTTTTCCATTGTTACTCTTTGTTAGTAATCAGTAAACAATGTTACACCACTTGTTAATAAAGTAAAATGTTAGTTGTATTTACAACGTTATTACATACATTTTTTAAACAATTTAGTTCAAATTTTTCTTTGATACATTAATCGGAATTTATCGTGTTTTTGTATATTCCAGCCAGAGACTGCGCTGCCAAAAGTACCATATCTCTCCGAGAAATACCTGTCAGTGCATGGTGCCATTGATTGTGAGAAACCTGTGTAACGGATTAAAAAATTATTGTATAACTCTTATTAAACATTCATTTATTTTTAATACGTTCTGAAAGTGCGTATAGGTGATGCCCTTTAACACCTGCCTGTAAATTATTCGCCATTAGACTGCCAATTGTTACAGCCAGACCAGACTTCTTTAGAGAATAATCTTCAGGTGTGCTTTGTTGTGCCAGTCCAACAATTTGACTCGGGACTGGAGTCATTTGAGTAAATGATTGCAGATTGACGTTATGTTTAGGATCATTGAGAACAAGCACTCCCAAATCATACCATTTATCTTCACCAATTTCTACTATGAAATTTTCTAATGCAATTATGGCGATATCTTTCGGCAATACCGAATTATTACGTAACGAATTAATTCTTTCCTCTGCTCCTTTTACACCAGCTGCGAAACCTACAGGTTGAGCAGCTACAGATTCAGCGTTTACCGATAGTCCTCTACAGAAAAGTAAAGTAATGAAGAATAAGTATATCATACGGTTGAATTTTAAAAGAATTACTTACGTTACTGTTGCTTTACCGAAAACATCTTGGAATGCTTCACGAATGGGACTGACTTTTACATCTTTATCAGAAGCAACAATAATATCCACATCCCCACCAGAATCTGAAACGTGTATTTAGAAGAAAGTTTACACAATAAAGTCTAATCTTACTTGCACGTGTTATTTTAATATTATATTCTTTTTCGAGTATAAATCAAAAAGATCACCTATCCATCTAAATTGAGCTGATCTTATAACTGAAACTTCTATTAAGTTGGAACCTGCCAAATATCGATCAACTTAAAAACTAATGTAGAATTTTATAACAATTTTTTACCTTTTATTCTCTGTAGTTCTGCATTAAGTTCCGTTTTATATTTTCTTGCTCTTCAGTTATATCATTTATAGAACCTAAATTCTAATTTATTTTTATAATATATTCTATATCCATGAACTACAAAAGTTTTTATTGTTTGCTCTAAGAAGCACAAGACGTGCAGCAAAGGGCTTTTTACATTTTGCATTATAAGACTTTTATGGGAGGTGGATATGAGACGAACCCCTCAAGAAAATAATGCTGTTAGAGGAGTTTAAAAAATACATTACAATTACGCCACCTTTAACTAATCTTATCGTGATCCACTTCCCTCTACATACAATTTTTACAAGAATTTACGTTTGTTGTATTTCTTATGTACATAAAAACAATTGTTTATTTCAAGTGCACGAGATTTTAAGTTGATCGGTCTTTAATGGATTCCAAGTTAATAGAAATCGAACCTACAACACTTTATATTGAGAAGTTTTAGTAAATCAAGAATGTCCTGCTTTTTGATCCTCAATTTAATTGACAGAATAAGTAATATTAGTATAATGCCAATATGTATTGAAATTAATAGTATTACTTACAAATAAATTCTCGCATTTGTGGATCCAAAGTTGTGATCATGGAATTAACACTACTCTTCGCCTTTTCAGCAACTTTGTTTAATACACTGTTGTTTGTAACAGTTTCCTTTACCCATGAAAGTAATCCTCCACTGACACTGCTCAAATCCTGTAGACTATTTTCCAATATCAAAGGCACTTCAGACGATTCAATTGGTGGAATTGCAGGGGAAAAAGCAGCAGAATAGTAAGTCCCTTGTTGATTTTCGTGTACTTCAGCTCCTGTAGTATTTAACTGATTTGGCCTTTTTGTAGAATCATCCTGTTCATTATTATTTATGATTCTAGTGACTTGATTTTGTGTACTAGACTCAGATGATATGGGCGTAGAATTTATAATAAAGCTGGGCAACGATGAAGGCGGTGCAACATTTGAAAGTAAACTTCCAATTGATGTGGATATGGTAGTAGGCAGATTAATTGATGCAGATGATGATACGCTGGTCAGTGATTCTGAAAAAAAATTCTAAAAGTTAATGTCATCAAGTGGAGATTAATAAGGAGATTGAATTACATAGTTTTTTATCTGTATTTTACTAGTCTGACAATAAATACATTGTTCGACCAAATACTTTTATTTTCTTTGGTTATAGAAGTTAATTATATTTTGATATCTTAACCTACCCAGTCGCGATATTTATATTTTTGTTTGTTTGACTCCTTCGGTGATATCTTGTATCCTACTGTTAACATTTGGTAGTAAATCATTTCTTTGAAATTACTTATGCTTCATAAATACAGCAGTGTCACTAATAAATATATAAATATTTCAGTGAAAAAAGTATACTCCTATATAATGGATAAAATACTATTGTAGTCAAAGTTTTTAAAAGAACTATATTGGATTATTCAACTCGAATGCAGTATCTGAAGTTAATACACGCATGTAGTTTTTATGATAAATAAAATTTTCGTTTAGAAAAGTTACATATTTCCATGTAGTTACATTTTCCATGAGTTTGCATTTTCAGTTATATACAGTGGAAACAATAATACAATGAAAGCAATATGTAATAATTAAACTATTTTATTCCTAAGTTTGACATTCAAGAAAATATAGTTATTGATATTCAAACGAAGTTCAGGTGGTGAGTTTGGGTTATAATATCAGGTCTACAAATTAAACCTGGTTTGAGACAATAGTATTATTCCAGTAGAGAACTTAATTTCAGAAATAAATGATTGCAATATGTCAACATTTTTATGATAGACAAAATACAATACATATGACCAATATACAGGTCATTCAGACCAAACGCACCAACTAGAATAAGCTTATCTAATTTCTATGGTAATAAAACATAAAAGTAGTTCATGTGGTGCCCTTGTACTGAACAACCTTGTATATGGGTCCTTACATAAGTTTTTGTAAGTTTTTATTCCTGGCTATGATAATATTAGGGTCTGTACATATAACCTCAAAGATTCTGTTCGCTTCAAACTATTATGGATATCCTACTAGATTCGATCTTACGTTGCTTCAGATAAAATTTGGAAAATAATGTACAAAAAGTGACGGTTCTCAGCTCGTATTCATATAGACATCACGTTTCTAAAATTTCTAGAAGAATAAAATCATAATACTGACCAGTTTTTGTAGTTTCTTTAGCAAAAGAAAATTCATCTGCTTTCTTTTCTACGAATTCGAATGTAGAGTCGCTGCTAGATTCCTCAGTCATTTTGAAACACTTTGTGCTACTACAAAATCAAAAATTCTAAATTTTATGTTCCTATATTTATTGACGAATAAACAGAAATTCTTGATAACACCAGATTAATCTACAAAACAATATATGATGGGCTACGTTTACCACAGTGTAAGGGTGTCTTTTCACGAGCAGCAAACAACTAGAATCAACAGCAAGTGAAACGTGGTAATTGGTTGATTTCACCAAGTGTGGCCATAAGAGCAAAATCAATTAATGAATTTTTCACGCTGCCAAAATCAATTTTTGTTGCTCGCAAAAAGACTCCTTAAGAATTGTTATAGATTACGTTACAGCATAATCTTATTCCGGTTTAGCTAGTACTAATCTAAAGAAATTGAAAAATCACAGACATTTCTACTTGTTCGGAATATTTGGGACTGATCAATTTCTTCAGATCAGTATTAACTGGTATTAACTAAACCGGAATAAGACCACGAGTGTTAACTCAGACACAGTTCAATGCTCTTTGCCTTTTTGTCTAAATAAGCCCTAAGGGCAACTTACAAGCTTTCACTTGTTATCTTCGACGCGGTTCAATATATAAACTCGGTTTAAGGTATTACTACGGACCGAAAAAAAAAAAAAAAGTTTCAATGTAAGATTTGAACAATCCAGCGTCAAGTTTTGAACTGGTACAGTTCACTCACACACGCCCATCCCTGCATCGATAGGCGCACACTAATGTATATTGGATATAGTAGTGTATACGTATATACACCGAATTCAGTCTCAAACGCAATGTTGCCGTAACGCTCTATTGTCTAGCCGTCGTACGAGAGATTTCGTAATAAATATCGATCTTCTTTCATGTCTATGAGTATGAGTAAAAAGTTCTGACTAAAAATCTAAAAAATTCAAAATTGTGTCCTTTTCCACATACTAGTTTTTCATCGAAATTACGCGGACGAGTCAAATGCAATAAAAAAAACCATGCGCGTTTTATTGGCCAGGTATAGGGAATACGTGTTACGAGTCCTGACTTTAACTCGGAAATACTCGGAAACTGATGAGTGAATCGTGTTAAAAATTTGTAGAGAGATGTACTGCTATACAAATTATACGTAAAATATATTTCAGCTCGATTACGCGGTTTTGAGTTTACCGTAGTAATACCTTAATTGGGATAGTAACCAATCCGATACTTGCATTTTTTTAAGATAAACGGAGTTTATGCATTACACCGCGTTGAAGAAAACGAGCTTTTGGATGTGTTCCAAAATTTACTGACAGTATTACAAAAGTAATTACATCTCTTTTAGATGCGTATGGATGAATAAGGACACAGTGTTCGATCATACTGGCAGTAATATTCGGAACATACCTTTTTATCGGACAAGTCAAACAACTAACTCCGTTTTCGATTAACTACACTGCACTGAGAACAAATTTTTTACTATTTGGTTAATAATACCACAGAAAATGTGAGTAATGTGTTACTATTGTGCACCAAGTGCAGTAAGTCAAAGACGCTGTAAAATTTCAGGGTTAATAGTCTTGCCATAAAATAATTAAAAGAAAATTTTTTCCTGCAAAAGTTTAAAGACAATTATTTTTCCTTTTTAATTTATTAGAAACCATTTTTTTGGGTTACAAATAATCCGATTAGGACATTTGTAGGTTCGCTATTATTAAAAAAGCAAAATATGGTATATTAGGACTGTTACGTCTAACATTTTGGCTGGCTGATTTCACCATGGATTTCGCTAAAGGTAATTGAGGGTTACAAGTCGAAATTAGTTAATTAGATTCTCAACTTTCAGATATGCAGAACTTTGATTTTTTTCTTTATTTAATGAATGCATTTGATTCGAGATACAACGATGCTTTCAGGACTCTCGGTTCATTTTCGAACACGCCTATAATACTCCGGAGCATATGAAAATGTTGGAACGAATGGTGTAATGCTAAAAATTCTTTTTAAATTATGGAAATATTAACCCGCAAAACTTTTAATTAGGCCCGTAATCATCGACAAATAACGCACAAGTAATTTATATAAAATTCGAGTTTCCGCCAATAACAATGCTTGTGACGCAATTGGTCGAAACTGAAAATTCATATACATAAGCTGCTTGTAATAAATCGAGAATTGGAATGGTGTTCCATTGAAAACAATGGCGAAACAGAACATGAGTTTCAATATATTTATTTTTATTAAAATAATAAATATATAAATATATCAAAAATCCGTTTCGTTTTGCCTTTGAGCTCTACAAGAACCTGAGAAGGCACCCTAATATCATAAACAGCGTTAACCAATCACGTTTGTTCATTCTCTTGTACTCTTGCTTCTTATTGCTTAAGTGTTTTTGAACCGTTTGCTGAATGGCAACGCAGCAAAGGGGCACGATCATGGAGGGACGCAGTTGAAAAGGGTATGAACGCCCATGGCTTATACATGATCGTGATTGGCTGAATGAAGATTGCCAACGGTGCTTAATAGCGCTCCTTCCACGCACTAGCCAAGCATCGCTTTCGAGGAAGTCGTGTTCTTTCCCAGGGAGTCCGCCATTGTTGGCGCACGTATATTTCTGACCAGGCCAACAAACATCGAATAACATCCAAGATGGTATGTAATATTATTTTACAGTTTGACTATGTTAAAAATCTGTGCAGTGCAAGGAACATAGAGATATATATATTTTTTTGGAAAAATTATAAATAAAGTTTGGAAAAACTGGAAACTCCATTTGCATCAGATTGCGCAATTTTCGTTAATGAACAATATTTAGCCTATGAAAATATTTTAAATTATAATTATTGGTATGAGCATAGAAAAATTCAGTGTATAGTTTTTCATTAATTTTGTTTTAACAATGAAAAATCTTTTCTGAAGTTAAGAGTACGGAATATGTTTATTCTCTATGGAACAATGTGTCGTGAGTTTTTCTTTAGAGAGGTTGACGCATATTGAACATCGACAGAACTTTTATTGCAGACAAATCCTATTCTCTAATTGCATTGGATTTTATTACTAATTCGTATGATTTATTAAATAGCGTTTCTTGTATATGTTATTGGAATCAAGATCTTACTTTCTTGGAAGGGATACTTTGAATATGTACCTGTGTTTCAAAACTTGCTCTCATTCAATATGGATTTCAGTTAGTTACTCATTGTAATGTTCTACAAAATTAATTTAAGCTAAAAAGATATGACCATCATATTTAAACAGAATTTAGGCTTTTTGGTCTCAGTATATTATGAGTAAAGGTAATTTATAGAGTGAACTTATTAGTGGATGCCATGATTTATAATCCTTCATTTACAAAAATACAGAATCTTTATGTATAGTCCTGATAATAATTGTTGTATAAAAGATAAATCTGGTATCCATATGTATGTATATGAAATACAAAATATAGATAAATAATTTTTCAAATCTTTTTTATTTGTAACATTTATGTAAATTATTTTACAGGTGAACTTTACAGTAGATGAGATCCGTGCTATGATGGACAAAAAAAGGAATATCAGAAACATGTCAGTCATTGCTCATGTTGATCATGGAAAGTCAACTTTGACTGACTCCCTTGTATCTAAAGCTGGCATCATTGCTGGTGCTAAAGCTGGTGAGACCCGATTCACAGACACTCGTAAGGATGAACAAGAACGCTGTATCACTATAAAATCAACGTATGTATTCATATGATAATTGAGGAGTCTTTAATAATTACTTATTACGAATGGTTACTTTTTTTAGTGCAATCTCTATGTACTTTGAACTTGAAGAGAAAGATATGGTTTTCATAAAAAGTCCTGACCAACGCGACAAATCAGAAAAGGGATTCCTTATTAATTTGATTGATTCACCTGGACACGTTGATTTCTCTAGCGAAGTTACTGCTGCCTTGCGAGTAACTGACGGAGCTCTTGTTGTTGTGGACTGTGTTTCTGGTATGTCATTACATTTATACAATAGAAAAGTTGTAAGATTGTGATTTGTAATTTTTTTTTTTTCCTATTTTTTTGGCTATATCTTCCAGCACATTCGGGCCACTCTGTAGTGTATCTGTTGATTTTTACTAAGTTAACATATACACGAGAACAGTGCTGACAGTGCAAAAATGGAAGTAAATTAAATTTAAGTTATCATGTCTAAACGCTGCCATTGGACCTCTATCTTTATGTCTGTTAATGGCACGCTACGTCATGAGAACTACACTTAACTTTTGTATTTATTTTTTATTATGCGTAGTGATTATATCAATTAGTAATTCCTTAATTTATTTTTATAAAGGTGTCTGTGTGCAAACTGAAACAGTTCTTCGGCAAGCTATTGCAGAACGTATTAAGCCTGTTTTATTCATGAATAAAATGGACCGTGCTTTACTTGAACTGCAACTTGATAGTGAAGATCTCTACCAAACTTTCCAACGTATTGTAGAAAACGTCAATGTGATCATCGCCACGTATTCTGATGATGATGGTCCAATGGGTGAAGTCCGAGTAAGTCACATTTTTTAATCTTGATGCAACTCGTCCTGTACTTTATTCAAATGAGTTTGCATTTTCAGTTATATACAGTGGAAACAATAATACAATTTAGGCAATATGTAATAATTCAACTATTTTATTCCTAAGATAATCAAACGAAATTATTGAAACCACAGATATAAATATATGAAATGGTGGGTTTTTGTTGAAACAGGTTAACTTTTCTATCATTGTAAAAGTTAGAGATTATACGATTGTGCCAACTGACAAAAAAGTTTCTTATGTTATTACTAAAGATTAATAGCACTTACTTGCATTAATTTAAATGATGATTGTTCTACTTACCAACTATTCATATTGTTCATGAATGACATAAAGAACGGCCAACTGATGAATTAATTCCATTTGACTGTTATAAAGACAAGTTCTTCATTAAGATAAAAAAAAAGTTTTTTGTTAAATAGGTGGATCCAAGCAAGGGCTCTGTAGGTTTTGGTTCTGGCCTTCATGGTTGGGCCTTCACTTTGAAGCAATTTTCTGAAATGTATGCTGAAAAATTCAAGATAGACGTTGCGAAACTGATGAACAGACTGTGGGGAGAATCATTTTTCAATCCCAAAACAAAGAAGTGGAGTAAGCAAAAGGAGGCAGACAATAAACGTTCCTTCTGCATGTATGTTCTTGATCCCATTTACAAGGTAATATATCATTAAGAATTGGGATATATTTTTGGTTTTATGTGGTTCTTACATTAGATGAATGACTAAAATACAAACAGTGTTTTAAATGCGATAATATCGTAGAAATTAATTTGTTGATAGGTTTTCGACTGTATCATGAATTACAAGAAGGATGAAGCAGAGACACTTCTTCAAAAATTGGGGATCACTCTGAAGCCAGAAGACAAGGATAAGGATGGCAAAGCTCTTCTTAAGGTCAGTACCATTTTGAATATTTGTATTAGTACGTATGTGCTTCTTATTTCCGTGATGAACGTTCTAAAAAATTTTCTGACACCTCTTCTGAAATATCATGACAGAATTAATGAACTTGATCTGAGTGCCATATGTATAATGCTATCATGTGCATAGGTTTCAGGAAATACATGTTTATTCGTAGTTTCTTTTTGTGTGTTATTGTAGGTTGTCATGAGAACTTGGCTGCCTGCCGGAGAAGCTTTACTTCAAATGATTGCCATTCATTTACCATCTCCCGTTACAGCACAAAAATATCGTATGGAAATGCTGTACGAAGGACCTCACGACGATGAAGCAGCCATTGGTATTAAGGTAACCCAACCAACTTCCTTGTTTTATTATAGATACATATTTATGACATAGAATATATTAAATACATTTAGCACTCTGAAACTGGCGATATTTAATACTATTTTTAATCTTTGCATAAAATCTAGCTGGCAACAGATAACGATAAATTCTTTTTCGGATACTGGTCAAGGACTGTGGAAAGATAAAAGTCTTCTCAGTTATAAGTTTTATTATTAAAAAATTGAAAATTATTATTGAAAAATGATCATGTATTCGTGGGACTTGGCATGAGCTATGGAGAGTTAACTACCAAAAAATTATACTATATATCAGCTTAAATAATTTCAATATTCTATACTTAATAAGTAGTCAAGCTTTGGTATATTGCCTAGTTTTCTTTAATGTAATTTATCTTATCCCATCAAGTATGTTTTTTATGATGAATGTTTTACACAGACCTGTTCTGAGATAATGTGAAAGATAAAAAGAACACGCAACTGACAATTTTTCTTAAAATAATAAAATATCTGTATATTGTTTTCTTTCGATTACAACATTTTTATATTGTTTTAGACTTGTGATCCCAATGGACCTTTGATGATGTACGTGTCGAAAATGGTACCGACATCTGACAAAGGGCGTTTCTATGCTTTCGGTCGTGTATTCTCAGGAAAGGTATGTACTGGAATGAAAGCACGTATCATGGGCCCGAATTTCCAACCTGGAAAGAAAGAAGATCTTTATGAAAAGGCAATTCAACGTACAATTTTGATGATGGGTCGTTACGTAGAGGCCATTGAGGATGTGCCTTCTGGTGAGATTTTAATTTTTTTTTTTTTTCTATGCATACATCACGTAACTGAAGTTTGTTCTCTTCCACGTATACGTTATTATAATTTTTTTAATCCAATAAACTTATGCTTCATTACGAACACAGGTAACATTTGTGGTCTTGTTGGCGTTGATCAGTTTTTAGTAAAGACTGGTACCATCACCACGTTTAAAGATGCTCACAACATGAAAGTTATGAAGTTCTCCGTGTCGCCTGTCGTGCGTGTGGCCGTTGAACCTAAAAACCCGGCTGATTTACCAAAACTTGTAGAAGGTATTTATAAAAATTAAATATATATTAATTATTCTTATGTTAGTGAATATAATGATGAAAAATTCTTTTGAGCACTGGGTTATGAATAACCATGATTACCGTTGACACACTGATCTTTTATATTAATTTTATTGAATGTTCATATAATATGTGCATTAGACATAAACGTGAACATTTTATTATAAGGTTTGAAGCGTTTGGCCAAGTCCGATCCTATGGTACAGTGCATCATTGAAGAGTCTGGAGAACATATTATCGCAGGAGCTGGAGAATTGCATTTGGAAATTTGTCTTAAGGATCTCGAAGAAGATCACGCATGTATCCCCATCAAGAAATCAGACCCAGTTGTATCCTATAGAGAAACAGTTTCCGAGGAATCCAATCAGATGTGTCTATCTAAATCTCCGAACAAGCACAATCGTCTCTTTATGAGAGCTCAACCTATGCCTGATGGTCTTGCTGAAGATATTGATAGTGTTCGTATAAATTATGATTTACATTGAACTTAAAATTTCTTGTATATTGAATCGCTGTAGCAATTTTATTTTTTTTCTTATTAACAGGGAGAAGTCAGTGCCAGAGATGATTTCAAATCCCGCGCTCGTTATTTGAGTGACAAGTACGACTATGATGTAACTGAGGCCCGAAAAATCTGGTGCTTTGGACCTGACGGAACTGGTCCCAATATTCTTGTCGACTGCACAAAAGGAGTACAATATCTTAATGAAATCAAAGATTCCGTTGTTGCTGGTTTTCAATGGGCTTCGAAAGAGGTGAATATTTCTATATGATAGCAATTGTATCATTTGATACTTATGATATGCAATCTTTAATTTTTATCTCAATTACGTTCAGGGTGTCCTTTCGGAAGAGAACTTGAGAGGTGTACGTTTCAATATTTACGATGTAACGCTACACGCTGACGCTATTCACAGAGGAGGTGGTCAAATAATCCCTACAACGAGACGTTGTTTGTATGCCTGTCTAATCACTGCTGCTCCACGAGTTATGGAGCCTGTCTATCTTTGCGAAATTCAGGTATGTTATCTTCAATTGTGCAATATTATCTGTCGTCGAGAGTTATGAGATCAGTTCCTATTATATAGAATCGTTATTTTTTTATGTACTGTAACATGTCTCTTAAGTATGACTTTAACACATAAGAAAATCCTGACGAATCTGTTTCGTCACTTATTCGACTTAATCTATAACTTAATGTCCCGTTTTCATTTACAGTGTCCCGAAATCGCAGTCGGTGGTATTTACAGTGTACTCAATCAAAGACGTGGTCATGTTTTTGAAGCGCAACAGGTTGCAGGAACTCCAATGTTTGTCGTTAGAGCAAATTTGCCTGTAAATGAATCCTTTGGATTTACTGCCGATTTACGTTCCAACACTGGAGGACAGGCCTTCCCGCAGTGTGTATTTGATCACTGGCAGGTTCTTCCTGGGGATCCATTTGAACCCGGCACTCGCCCGTACACAGTTGTTCAGGTAACACATTTTACTGTCATTTTAAAATGCGTTTGATAACATTAAGTAGTGAGCAACAGTATGCCCTGTCCACGTACATAACTGGTGGCTATGACGATAAATGCATTGCTACTTTTAAATTCGTGGTAAATAGACAGTCTTTTAAGTTTCGGTTTTCCAGTTTGTCTGGTTAGCCAGAATAGGGGGACTAACAAGAATTTTAGTTTATTACGAGTAATTCTTTGTTTTTCCGTACGATTTAAAGTATGTATTTATCATACTGTAGTTCTTGTTCTCAATGTTGAGATTACACAAAAGATACCAAACTTACTGCTTATCAGTATTATTTATAAGATTATCTAATGGTTGGGTGATATAGAGACAGGGAGATAAAAGATTTAATTTTTTTTTTTTTTCAATAAAAAAATCCTCTATTTCAAAGTAAAACCATTTTATTCCATTTTAAGGCAATAGTACGTCCTAATCCCTTCCAGGGGATTTCATATTCCCTCATGGTGTGGAAAATGATAGTTATGGTACAAATAAAAAATATTAAGAACTATCAAAATGCTCAGTGTCAGCTATTCTGTTTGCGTGCAAAGATTATCAGAATGTCTAAAGTTAAAAATATCTGTAAAAATTCATCTGACATCGTGCAGTGACACAATCAGAATTGTAATACAATCTTTATTAACTTTACATTTTAGGCTAATTAGACAGTGCTTTTAAGAGCGCGTAGAACAATAGCATTTTTTTCAAAATTATACAATAATGCAATATGGCTTTGCGTTATATTGTCAGAATAGCGTGGACATTTCCTTTGCTGGTACTAAGAATTAGATAAACCTCTGTAACCATTTACTTCCATTTTCGCAAATGCACGACTGCGAAAAAGAAATTGTACAATTTCTAACAGAACTGTAACGTGTTTGTCATTTAACAAAATTTTTCTTATTGTCAAAATATTTATTTTTAGTACAGAGAAACTATGAAGGCAAAAAATATGTTATACAATAGTCACATTACCTTGAACACATTTAGGTAACATTGACAAAAGTTAAAATTATTACTACTGTCTATTACAATTCTACTATCAAACTTACGTTGGCCAATGGTAGTTTCCTCTTGGGGCTACACTTTGCATGATTAAGAATGAAGACGAGATTATCTTTACCTACAAATTATTTTGGATGACCACTATACGGATTGAATAAATGATACTGATACGAATTTTCTAAATATAACAGTTAAATAATCATATTGAATATTATTGCATTGAGAATAACATTTTTGTATTTTATTTCCAGGACACCCGTAAAAGGAAGGGAATGAAAGAAGGTCTTCCCGACTTAGCTTCATATCTCGACAAATTGTAACCGTCATGGGTCTGGTTTTGGGCGCTATATTTAAATATCTATTTAAATATTGTACTTCAATTAATATCACTGGAGCAGTATAAACCTACCATCAGTCGTTTATCAACTCTGTTTTCCGTAAAGTCCCATGAACAATAAAGTATAAATATAAAACAAAAGTCGCAGTTGTATCCAACAAGATCATACAAATAGTATGAGAAAATTTGTCTGCATCAACTGACATATTATGTTGCTAAATGGACTTTCAATTATTATAATTTTATAAAGGCAACATGTCGATACCTGTTAAAAGTTATGTCCTTAGGTCATTCGTATGGCTCTTAAAGTCTATTCGATTAATAGAAATATAGCTCGCAATTTTTTACAGTTTTTCTAATCGTATTTTTTTTCTTTAACATTTTTTTTATGGAATCGACAAATGAAACATTGGACATGGTTACTTTAACGCCCACAGTCTTATAAAACGTAATGTATTTACTTCGCTACATAGGTATATGAATGGAAGGGGGGGGAAGCACTCACACGATGAATTTAATGGGCATATAGACAAAGTTTAGTGTAAAATGAAAATAAACAAGAAAAACAATTGCTGCTATTTGAAATGATGAAAAACTCAAGTGTTTTCGTTTTATTTACATATCTTAAGTGATCACTGTTACCCTGAAGATTAACTTGCATGAAAGAGAGAGATGATTGTATATGTATAAGCACACAATCCTAAAAATAGTTGTATGACCACAGCAATTACAATATAGTTGAGCGGATACAAGTGTGGTCTCTTTATGTGAAACAGATATCCTTGTTGGATATACAGTGAGGATCGCGGTTAACGCTCAGAATACGTTCTTACAGTTTACAGGGCTGGCCGGGAGTCCATGTTGTAATTCGGAGTATTAAAAAAATTATCGTTTTATCCACAATTTGGATGAACGGGGTAATGTTGATAATGAAGGCCACTTCCGTCTAGTGTGAAATAAATGCTTGACGTATTAATCCTCTTTAAAACATGGTCCACATCACTGAGGAGATATTAGTAAGGAGGGTCAACCGTACATATCAGCCGGGCTCTACCAATATCTCCTCGGTGTTTGAGATAAAGTTGAATATCTGTAAAAGATCTCTGCTCATCTCTCTAAGTTCATGCAGTCGAACTTTGCGCGCAAAGAGATCACAGTGACGACTGGGAGCATATTCCAAAACCATTTAAGTATCCTTTAGTTCCTTTTATTAGTTCCTAAGGAATTTTAACCTAGAAAGATTTATTTCCTCTGCTGTAAAACTAAACCTCAGTGAAGTTAGCCGGACAACTTTAACTTTGTTATCATACCTAATCGAGTGGTGGTCGTTTGGTGTCCTAATTAAAACATTTGGTGGTGGTCAGTCATTGTTCTATAATCAAATAATCAAATTTGTCCTTGACGTTAGCCGAAAAATATTTTTTTTTAACAAATTACGTTTTTCAGGTGCTCGATGCGTATCGTTTGGTGATAACGAATATCATAATTAAAACGTTTGGTAGTCATTAGTTTTCGTACAAAATTAAAAAAAACGATGCAGTGTTAGGTTGTTATCAAACGTGTTAGGTTCAAAAGAAGACAAGCACAGCGATTGGCGAACAGTTAGTCACTTTTCGTATTTTCACTACATTTGAGTTACACAATCGACCTCCTGTTCAGAAATATCTGTTTTATGGACCGTAAATGTGTGTTCATACATCAATATCCAGTCCAGCTAGACTGCATGGTTTTTTTAATTTTGTACGAAAACTAAAGACTACCAAACATTTTAATTATGAGGTTCATTATTACCGAACGATTACGCATCGATTGAGCACCTGAAAAACTTAATTTGTTGAGAAAAAATATTTTTCGGCTAACTTCAAGGACAAATTTGGATTATTTGATTATAAAAGAATGACTGACCACCAAATGTTTTTATTAGGCCACCAATGACCACCAAACGATTTGGTATGATAAAAAGTTAAAAAGTTAAAATTGCCCGGCTAACTTCACTGAGGTGTATAGTTCAGTGCACGTTCAGTGGATCCAACCTTAGGACTTAGTGTTGGTCGCAGCCGTTGAAGTCGCAGTACCGACAATAAAAATTTCGGGAACATACTCTACGTTTCATCGTTAGGTTCATGTATACCGTATTGTTTGTAATAAATAGGTATTGTTTGGAATTGTCAGTGTTCCTTCTAGTTCGTTGTGTGGAGACCAGCTGAAATTAATTTAAAACTACTAAATAGAAAGAAATTTTGAGTAGCGCTAAATTAGTTTCACAATAGTATAGTGAAGGAGGTGAAATTACAGTCTGACTTTTCATCACAGTATGAATAAAAAAAAAATAACATTTGGCAAGATTGGGCAGGGTTTAATTTCTCAGCAGGAATTACCAGAGGAACCTACAACTTCCGGCTTTGGAACTTTTGGCCAAAAACCTCCTGAAAAGAATTGCAATGCAATGAAAGAGATTCGTCCTGAGGATGAGGAGGAAATGCAAACTCTACAAAAAGTTATGGGTATGACTGGTTTCGGAAAGAAAGCAAAATCCTTTGATATTCAAGAAATACTTGATAATATTTCCAAAACTATTGGAAGTCACAAGGCAGCAATGCAAGGAAAAGAAGGCAATGAAGCAAAGACTCTAGTAATATCACAGCAATGTCAAGAAGAATCCAAGGAAGATGATTTGTTGATAGGACCACCGATTCCATCACAAGTAGATGAGAAATCTAAATCAGTTAACAAAAAGGACAGTGACGAAGACACTGATGATGAAGATGACAGTGAAACAGAGGCAGAGGAAACAAATGTAATCAGTAAAATTCCATGTACTCATGAAGTAGCTATGACACATGGAACAAAAGCAGTAATAGCTATAGCAGCAGATCCTTCTGGAGCCCGTTTAGCATCAGGATCAGTCGATTATGATGTTAGTTTCTGGGATTTTGCTGGAATGGATTCATCTTTAAAGAGTTTTCGCACCCTGCAACCTTGTGAGAATCACCCTATCAAATGTCTACAATATTCTATGACTGGTGATGCTATCCTTGTAATATCTGGAGCTGCGCAGGCAAAAGTGTTAGATCGTGATGGTTTTGAAAAATGTGAAACAGTTAAAGGAGATCAATACATCACTGACATGGCACGCACAAAAGGACATACAGCTGCATTGAACAGTGGTTGTTGGCATCCATTTACTAAAGAAGAATATCTAACATGTTCACAGGACAGTACTTGCAGAATTTGGATTCTATACCGTCCAAGAGCTCACAAGTACCTCATAAAATGTAGAGCACAAAATGGTGTCAAGACCGTACCTACCACATGTGCTTATAGCAGAGATGGTAGTGCAGTGGCCTGTGGCTGTATAGATGGTTCCATACAAATGTGGGACCGTAGAAAGAATTTTGTTAATCCTTCTTTAATCTTGCGTGGAGCTCACACACAAGGTTCAGAAATATCGAGTCTAAGCTTTTCTTACTTGGGTAACATGCTTGCAACCAGAAGTTGCGATGATACCTTAAAACTTTGGGATATGCGAGCATTCAAAAGTCCTCTTTTTGTAGCAAGTGACTTATTTTCACGCTATGATACCACAGACTGCATGTTCAGTCCAGATGATTCTATGATCATCACTGGAGAGTCTCTCAGAAAAGCCCAAACTAATGGTAGAGTGTTATTCTACAATACAAAAACATTTGAGATGGTGCATGAAATCTTGGTGACAAATTCTCATGTTATTAAAACACTGTGGCACCCAAAATTGAACCAGATTTTTGTGGGATGTGGTAATGGTGTTGTGAAGGCATATTATGACCCAAAGAGAAGCATGAGAGGTGCTAAACTCTGTGTGGTGAAGACACATCTAAAACCGAAGCATATAGAAATCATGTCAACACAGCAAATTATTACACCACATGCTTTGCCACTTTTCAGGCAGGACAGGCCAAAATCTGTCAGGAAACAAATGGAAAAGGATAGACTTGATCCTGTTAAGTCTCATAGACCTGACCTTCCTATTACTTCTGGACAGGGAGGTAGGGTAGCTTCATCTGGAGGAACTCTTAGTTCCTATGTTATAAGAAATCTTGGACTGAGTAAACGCATAGAGGATGATCAGGATCCGCGTGAAGCTATCCTAAAGTACGCCAAAGAAGCTGAAGAAAATCCTTACTGGATCGCTCCAGCATACAAAAAGACTCAACCGAAGACCATTTTCCAATCTGACGAATCAGATGGAGGACCATCGAATAAGAAGCAAAAGACCTAATTCAGTAATATACAGGATTTATTTTTCAATCATCATTTTGTTGAATAATGTACATTTTGATGTACTTATTGTTAATATATAGTATAAGCAAACATTTTGTGAAACAATAACAAGATTATGTATTATTTATTAATATTATGATTAATTTTAGAGAAGAAAAGGGAGATAAGGTTGCTGATATTTCCAGCTATCATTCTATAACAAAAATATTGTACATTTTTTTAAATGGGATGTAATATGACAAATGATGCTTCCAAATTTCATGATAAAACTATGTCTCATTTACACTATAAGATCGATGCCTGCATGTGAATATTTATGAATAACTAAATTTCTTCGTTCCTTTATCACATATAAATACTCGCCAGATATATAAGATAGCAAAATAACAGACATGAAAAATAAAAATATACCTATTTCATATTTTCAGTATATAAGCATATAAAGTATATTTAAAACTATTAAAACTACCAGTTGTTCGTATTTATAATTACCGGAGAATGCTAATTAGTTATAATTAGAGAAACTGAGGAAACACATGAGAGTACTTGACAATTAATATGCACATTGAGTACGGCATATTTACTGGAACCAATATAAAAGTATAGAAGGTTTTTGAAACGTTTAATTCAGTTTAGTTATTCTATGTATGTTCACGCATAGGGAGAGGTAATATATTTTCTATTTTTTTTCCTGCATTTTCAATTAATTTGGCCTATTATTGATTCAGTCGCCTTATATGATACAAAATATGAGTTATGTATTTAACCATATTAAGCATTCTAATTTGAAGAAAATTATAAGAAAACGTGGCAGGCGTTACGACAGCGCCCATGATGTTTTGACAGATCAGAAATGCACAATTTCATTAGGTATAATTTTCTCGAAACTGAAATATTTTTCGAGTCTATATTGAGAAGTGCCACGAGCCATATCATATAAAGAAGCTAGCTCATCAAAAATGTTGATAAATCATTTAGAAATAAACAAGAAAAATTAATATTATGTTTCCTCGCTTTTCACGTCACCATATCATGTACGTGTGCAAGCATCGGATAGCTGAACACAGCTTTAATGCATAGAATACACAAAGGGTCATTCTCTTTACCAGTATCTTCTTGTTGCTAGAAAATTGATAATAAAGGTACATTCCTGTTAGAGATAAAATTGTTGCAATGTTCACTTATTTCAACCTTATTAGTGCATACGGATTTTGATAAGTTCAACGAAGAGGAGGAGCAAGTTAGACAAGCCCTCTCTTCAAGAATGCAGGTTGACCTAATCGAATTTGGCGCAACAGCGATATGACCTATCTGCGGGATTTAGAAAGAATCAACCAATCATGTTCGTGCATTCTTCTCTAATGTTGTACATAATTGGTTAATCTTTAAATCACATAGGATGAAAATGTAGTAAATAGTGACCACATATGGTGATTTCCTATTATCCAACTTGTGTCGCCTTGTGTTAATACAGAGACTCATTATTCGCTGACTCCATTGAAATATTTGCAAAACTACAAATGAGATAGCTGTGTGTCGACTTAAGTCTACACAAGCGTGTAATTGGAAACCACTGTTAGCGAATAAAGTTACTGGGAAGGCGTCTTTATCGTGACCGTTATTAGACCTAACCAGGAAACAAAGATGAGTTTCCAATCTTTAGTGTATCGCATTGTAAATGACTGAACGTTTCCCAGAATGCTATGCGAAATTAAAAACGCCATTTTGTGTGTTTGGCTTTGACACTGGAGCGGTTGTGCGTGTGATTTGGAAGTGTAACGTAATTTTGCGTTTTATTCGCAAAATGTTGCTCAAATACTTCGTGCCCGACATGTCTAAGTAATAGTAGGTTGCGGAGAGGGATCGAGCAAGAGTGGCTCGCGTCGAAATGGTGTAGTGAGCTGTGAGTGAGTGTGTTTTCATCGAGCGTGTTGCACACTGGCCTTTTATCGCTATCTGTCACCATCTGCTATTTAGTGCCATTCAAAAATTGGTGTTTGGTCTTATTATACACGGCCTCTGGATTACTCTTGATTCTTCAACGGTTACCATGAGTTCTCGAAATATTCCTTCGGACAAGGTAAGCCCCATTGTTTCAGGGATGCCATACCGCACCCTAGTACCTCCTCACTCCTCCTCCTCCGTCCTACCTTGGCACTTCCCAATTTTCCTGATCTCGTTTTTTCTTATTCTCCTGTTTTTATCATCCACTCTCTTGATAATCTTCTCTCTTTCTTTCTCATTTACGTTTTTTTCTCTTCTTATTTCCTACTATTTTCCTAACGTTTTATACTCTACCCATATATGTTTTACCCTCCATTTTTTTTCCTTACTATTTATTCATTTGTTATTTCATATTTTTCTTTTCTACTATTTTTCTTTATTTTACTCTCTTCTATTTCTGTATTCTTTTTCAGTGTTTCATTTTTGTTTTTCTTATTTTCTTCATTCGTTTCTTTACATTTTATTGGTATTTATCCATCTTAACTAGTCCAATATTTTTTTATATATAATTTGACCTAGTCATGACATATCCATACTCCTTTACACTGCCATACTTTTCATTATCTCTTTTATGTTTGTAATACACTATTACAAACAATGTTTACGAAAAGGTATTTATAATTAACGTTATGAAATTTCATGCTCATTTTGATACAAAGGTTATATGCTTTAGGATTCTACATTTGTGTCAACAGATATTAAAATGCAGTGCTTAAATACTTAAATTGCTTAATCGTGAGTAAGAAAATGTGATATCACAATTTGATCTATATCCTATCAATAAATCATGACAGAAAGTAATCTAATGCTTAAAATATTTGTTGGAATTAATTGGATTATAGTAAAAAGGTTTAGTTTTATCATTCAAGTTTAAACGAAAGTTTAGTTAAGGGTATTTGATGTTTGAATTTTTGTCTGACACTGTATACATACAGTGACAAAAATTAGTCAAAATCAATAAGTAGTTGTATCGATAGTTAGTTATATTGAAATAAAGTGCATAAATTTGTTTCTAGTATACATTAATATTTAATAACGCATTTATTATTGATTTACATGAATATATTTTTAAATATAAGTATATTTCTAAAAACTGCCGACAGTTTCGTCTGAGAATCCAGCCTGACTATATTATACAAAACAAATCTGATTTATCTTTTGCACGTTATATTCAGCATCATATTTAACATATACAAAAGACATTGTATAAAATAAAGTTTAAAAACAATAAATTAAATATACAAAATTAATTACCAAATTATTTTGTTAAATAAATTTTAAGGTGTTAGTAATTAAAACCGTTTGCACTCGATAACCTAAAAAATGTGAGAAAAACGTGTTGGGTACACAACAGGTCTATATCTATATGTATATCTATATATACACGAGGGCTCAGCTGTTATTGCGATGTTGCCGCGACAAAACGACAGTTTTCTGACTTCAATTAACAGTATATTAAAAATCACATAGTAAATTGAAATGCGTTTCAATTAATGAGATTCCTAAATAAATATTAAGGTGGTTCGATTACTTCAGCACTTATAAAATATTGATCTGAATGTTGTATATTTTCTTGGGAGGTGCTTAACTAACGATCGAGCATGCAAAATTTCAAATCTATTTACCGTCTACCTTACGAGATACACTGAATGAAAATAGCCAAAAATGCACTATATAGATGTACTTCGCTTGTTAAAATAGCAACATTTTTTTCGAGATTTTTCCACTTCCAGACGGTAAAGGCAGATGAAACTTGTAGGAGACACGTCTTTTACATCGAACATTACTATGGTGATTTTTAATTAGAAAATATTTATTTTTTTTAAATAATTTTGCACTGCATTATTTAAGCATGTGGATAGATACAAGATAATACCTTACGCAGGAAATATTTTTATAATGAACGATGTACATGGAATTTCCAGAAGTTGGAATACTATTATTATGGTGCTAGGGGAACCACCTTAATGTACTCATTAAAAAATTCCATGACCCATTTGTAGACTGCATCTTTACTGAGTAATTATAAATTTTGCATCGATTCCATTTCAACACGTATAAAAACACAGTTAATACCTTTTAACTGTATAATGAAACTTCTCAAAATTTGTGAATCATACTTTTCTCAGTTCAAGGTACTGTCTGTTAAAGTTTCAAGATCATTAAATTATTTTCAATAATACGTGAAACACCTTCAATACTAACGACATAATGTTTGTGACTGGCTAATTTAACTAGTGACAATCAATCTAGAATAAGCACGGTAAAGTTTAGGCTTAAACTTAAATGGGAAAACTCAGCTTAAGGCCGGGATTTTTCGAACATAGGTTAAAATTTAACTTGGACCGTGTGATATAGATCTATTACATGTCCGCATTCATTATTTGAGTTTCAATTTCATTTGAACTGACGTTCGTATAATCAGATGTAATAGTACAGACGTATGTTTTAGTTTAATTTGCGAAAATAAAGGCAATGCAATGCCATGCTATACTATGCTATTCTATGATGGTTTATCTATTTTTTATATGTAGCTGTGGGAGCTTTAACCTACTGTGGCATAACCACTACTTCCGACCCGAAGAAGTGGTTAAAGTGACAATATTTGAAATAGAAAACGTAATTAGCAGCAACTAAGCGCATTAAAATTTCCACTTTTCATTATTCTGTTTGTCAAGAGTTTATTCATCCTTATGTGGCTGTAGTTACTTTAGACATAATCTGCCACAACCACTACTTCCAGTTGAATGGCTAAAGCAAGAAAATTGGTAATAGACCAAATAATTAGCTACGAAACTTTAAGTGACGTGTTGAAGCAGCTGTGCCAACTTTATGCACGTGTATCTTGTTTACTAATATAATCAACGTGTAATACTTTAATTGAAAAAATATTGCTTTCATGCATTGAAAAGTGACATCCTGCCGACATTTATGAGTACACGAATTTTTAATGTATTATCCTTTTAAGCTTAGAAAGATGTTATGAGCCCCGTGCTTAAACAGCCACTTTAGTGTCTGTGGTTTCTGACAAGTTGTTTAGCAATAGTATACAGAATTGAAAAATTTGAAAAAATTCTATAATAATATATAGGAGTTTTTACATAAAAACAGTAAGCAAATATTTTTTTAAATCCAAATTTAGGCAAAAAGATCTGAAAACAAAATATCTTGGACATGAAGACCCCAAGGGTTCTTCCTATAGTTAATGTGTTGGCAATCCCATTATATTACACACAACTTCCGATGATATTTCGACATGTTCTTATTTCTCGTATTTATTATTGAGAGAGGTGCAATAGTGGTTTCTAAAATGATGACACCCACTTTCTCCCTTCTTTAATTTTATAAAGATTACCACGTAAATAAAAAAAGAGTTCTATTTGACTTCGAAAGAGTTTTAGAGTTCGTGATACTTTTCAACAATAATGATGTCGATTAAATTTGAAAATATGATTTTAAGAAATGGGGGCACAGAGGGTAATCTCTACGGCGCTCCCATAATTAAAAAAAAATCGTAATTTTGAACAGGTTAACAATTTCCATCAATAGTTCTGGTCGTTATCAACTTGTTATAAAGTTTGAAAGAATAAGTCAACCCTCCTTTTTTTTTTACAAAATTATATTTTTTTAGAGTTGTGAATAGTTTTCGATGAGATCTAGAATTTCCTATAGGTTTTGGGTACAACACACGTTCAGATTCTGTCAAAAAATAATTTTCGGATAAACAATACAAAAAATCAATTTGCCATATAAAATCGGATATGCGCAAACTGCTAAATAAATTAAGGGGGAATGGAACTGATCGCCGAAGTTCAAATTGACGGTGCGCTGTGGCAAACCGTGGAAACACGCGACTATACTTTTCCACGCTGTGTAACATCGCGCTTTAGTGATGCTCAACAGCTGATTACGCGGAAGTGAAAAGATTCCGTATAAACTTTTCTCTACTGTATGTACTTAGAATCTGCTTTGAACAGTAGAAATTTGACATTGTGGTTGAGAAGACATAGTGGCATGTGTATTAATATGAAAATTTGCAATTAATATGTATAAAAACCATCTAACTAAAGTTGTCTTGAAAGAAATGGGCACCACTGGCGCACGTTGGCACTAAACGTGCTACTACTAGCGCTCGCCGTGGTGAAAGTCTAAAGTTTTAGGGGTGGCAAGTCGGCGCACTGATGGATGTCTCCATATTCGCATCCAAAAATCTCGAAATTTGTTGTACGGTAGCAACTCCCAGTGCTAAGGTGTAAAGTTGATACGCGTAAAATTTCCCTGCGTGCTGTGCAACAGTGTGACAAGTGTTGGGTAGGGAACAGCAAAGTTATTGTCGTGGCGCCATGACACGTCTATAGGCTGTCAAACTGTCAGTATTCACTTTTGTTTTATGTATATTCTAAGTAATGTTTCAAAAATCGGGCTCCGCAGGGAAAGTTTTTTTTTGTCAAAACGCTTCAAATTGGTGCAATCAATTTAATGACACAACTTTCTAAAAGGACATTTTTAGGTGAAAAGTTTCCTCTCTTCCAGCTCTTGTTCCCGTGTGATATACTAACACATAAAAAAGTAAGTTCCATTCCCCGCCAGTGTGACAGGTCAAAAAATTGTCAATTTTTGGGAATTTTTTTACAGATAGAATTAATTATTTAAGGATCGCGTAAAGGATACTTTATTGAGTAGATATTTAACTATTTTAGTACCAATTTTATTGAAAATTATTAAAAATTTACAAAGTTATAAGCTTCTATGTAATCATAAGAAAAAATTCCTCTTGATTGTCCCATCGAAATTTTGGTGAAGGGTTATCTCAAAATAAAATTAAAATTTTGCCAATATCTATATGAATTTAGTTATCGTTATGCGTGGCCTTTTTCCACAAAATGGCGGCAGTTTGAAAAATTTTTAATTTTTAAGACTTTTTTATTTAAACGGGCTTAAAAATAGTAATTTTTCAATTTTTTTAAATCGGCCACACACAGACTTATTCACTGTGATTACGAAAATTAAAAAGAAAATTTTAATCAGTTCATCAGTCTTTAAGTATTCGCTTGGGACATGGCCGAAAATATTCGT